GGGGGGGTGGATACCGTCGGCGGATGGGCGATGGCAGCACCGACAGGTGAGTCGCATGATTTGGCTGATCGCGATCCGCCGACGTTTCGCGCGAGAATTACAAATGACTTATGCAACTAAGTATAAACGATACATGAATACATGGACATGAAGTAACTATGCTATTTACAAGGCGATACGCCGAACATACCGCCCACCAAAATACGACGTATTTTCTATGCTTGAACAGATTCCTCTGGTGAAGCGTCCATCGGCAGTGGGCACAACTTCACCAGAGGACGGGTAAGCACGCCATCCGTTGTCCGCACCGTAGCGACCCGAGCGACGCCGTCACGGCCCGGGTGCAGTTCCACGACCCGCCCTCGTCTCCATTGCAAGGGAGGGGCGTTTTCGCCCTTTACCAGGACCAATGTGTCCTTTCTTACCGTAGGGGCCGATTGCAACCACTTCGGTCGTGGTTGGAGGGTGTGTAGGTGCTCGTCATGCCACCTCTTCCAGTACTGCTGGTGCATGTGTTGCACCATTTGCCACCGATCGAGTCTGTTTCTCGGCACCGGGCTCAGGTCAGGGTGTGGAACCGCCATGAGAGACTCCAGGGTAAGGAAATACCCCGGGAAAAGCACCCCAAGGTCGCTGGAGTCTGAACTGGTGGGACAGAGGGGTCCGGAGTTCAGGATAGCTTCTACTAGGATCCAGAAGTTTTGTGACAAGATGTAATGTGACGCTCGACGTCCCGGATACAAATGTAGGCGGTGGGTGCGCTCTGCTATAAGTTCCGTGAGTCGATGTCGGTTAAACAGCAATGCGGGGTGTTTAGCCTTGTATGAGATGGCGGAATGGGTAGGCTTGCCGCCCACCCTGAGGACTCCGCGACCATCCAAGAAGGGGGCGAGTTTTCGCAGAGGATTGGAGCAACTCTGGTTGCGTCTTAAGCTACCGATATCCTCTGTGAAGCAACGAGATCGTACAAATTTGACGAGGTATAACAAGGTCGACTGAAATTTGATTTGATCCACGACGAGAGTGAGCGCATTTGATCTAGTTTTGGTAACAAATCGGAGACAATATGCGAACATGAGTGGGGTCAAGAGCCCCCCTGGATCAAGGATGCGAGTGCGTTCGGAACCTCCGAATGAGGTCCGGCCGCTTGGCGACACCCAACGAGCCCTCCGCGATGGCGGGAGGAACAAGGCGATACGCCAAGTCGGCGGTAAGGTCCTGCCGTTCGGCGACACCCGAGTGGTGCTACGCCGAGACGGCGGTATCCAAGGGCACCGTGAGTGCAGGCGACTCGACGGCGCGCGATGACGAGATGAGTGTATAGGGACTCGACCTCGTCCAAACAATGCTATGAATGCGCGGATATCTTCGCCGCGGCGTGCCCGTGCGACGCGCGGACGAGAGAGATCACGCGCGCGGTTATCCCCGCCGCGACGTGCCCATGCGACGCGCGGACGAAAGACCTCCCGCTTGAGTTTGTGACCCCCGAGCGCGTGTGACTCGGCGGTGCATGATGACGAGGTGAGCGTGTAAGGACTCGACCTCGCCCAAACAAAACGACAATTACGCGGGTGTCTCCGCCGCGATGTGCGACGCCCGGGCGAGAGACATCCCGTGTGGTGAGGCGAAACGACGATTGCGCGAATGTCTTCGCCGCGACGTGCCCATGCAGCGCCCGGACGAGAGACATCCCGCTTGGTGAAGCGAAACAACGATTGCGCGGACACCTTTGCCGCGACGTGCTCATGCGACGCCCGGACGAGAGACATCACGCGCGCGGTTGACCCCGCCGCGACGCGCCCATGCGGCGTGCGGACGAGAGACCTCCCGCTTGAGTTTGTGACCCCCGAGTGTGTGGGGGTCCCGTCTAACTGCCAACATCGACTGAGAGATGCATCTAGAGAATCGAGAGTCAGGAACGAGTGTGTAGACCGAGATGCCTGAGTCGACACTGAGCCAACCAGAACCCAGCCGAAAATGGAATTAAAGGCGTCTGGTTCACCTTTCCTCCCTAGACGACGACCGTCCCGAATCAACGAGGCAAAGATATCTGCGCCGATTAAGAGGTCGACGGGACCAGGTCGGTGATACTGCGGATCCGCGAGCTTTAATCCCTCTATGTGTTTCCACGCTTTTTGTTCGACTTGTCTACTAGGTAATTGGGCGGAGATGCGTGGGAGAATCGTAGCCTCTATCGGAACGCGAGTATTGCCATTACCCGGTACTTGAATCACGAGTGAGGTGCTACCTCGAGTGGCAGCCGCTTTAGTATTATTTACCGCTAGGACTACAGTACGACACTTGGTTCGTTTGAAACCACCCTTTTTCATGCAATTTTCCGAAATGAAATTTAATTGACTGGCACTATCCAAAAGAATGCGAACAGGGAAGGGATTTCCGTGAACGTCGAGAGCTTCGGCCTGCACCGTTGACAATAATACTGTCGAACTCGATTTCGCGACGCTAGCCATGGTGACGAGGGGTTCATTATTTTGTGGCGACGAACTCCCGTCGGCGGCCGATTCGGAGGGGGCTCCGGTATCCGCCGGGGTGTCCGCTGGATCCGAATTCCGTCCGAAGTGCAATAGGGTATGATGCCTAGCCTGGCACGACCGGCACGTCCCCGTCGATGTGCAGTTGTTAGTGCCATGACCCGCGCGAAGGCAATTGAAACACAAGTTCGCGGTTTTGGCCGTTAAATGCCTTTCCCGGGGGGATAGTTTCAAGAATCGAGGGCACTTGAACACGAGATGTTGTTCCTTGCACGCCGGACACTCGGCAGTTCGAGTTGCAAGCGACGAAGCCGACGCGGACGATTGTGATTTGAACGGCATGGTCGACGGACCCGAGATGGCCTCAAGTACTTTACAGTGCTCGGAAAGAAACTTGATGAGTTGAGCGTATCGCGGTATCTCTTCGGCCCGATGGACAGATTCGAACTTTTCCCGCAATGATCGGGGAAGCTTCTCGAGCAGGAAATTGAGCAAAAGGAAATCCCACGAATCGGTAGGGAACTTCATCAGGTTTAGCGCGCGAGTGTTTTCGGTGAACGTATCTAATAATTTATGGAGGGCATCGGCCGATTCGATCTTTAACGGTTTGGCTTCGCGTATCGACTTTAAGTGGTGGTCCGCTAGCCTCCTTCTGTTCCGATACCTGTCGAGCAGCGCGTCGTATGCAATCATGTAATACTCCGCGGCGAGGGGCAAATTCTTGATTACATTGAGCGCCTCCCCCTTTAGCGAGGCCAGCAGATATTGATACTTCTCTATTGACGAGATCTGTCGGTTGTCGTGAATCGAGGTGTTGAACAAGGCGATAAAAGACGGCCACAGCGTAAGATCGCCCGAAAATTGCGGAAACGTAATTTTGGGTAACTTGATCGCCGACGCGTGGCTCGCGGATTGAGCCTGTGCGGTTCCGAGCGTCGTGCCCGTGAGCGCGTGATACCGTCCCTTCACGGCGTAATGCATTTTATCGAAGTCTGCCCGAATCGCGTCCTCGGCGTCGAACTCAGTAGTCTCTTGTATAAGCTTTAGATGCGCGTTCTCAAAATCCTCGGCGATTCTCGCCACGCTCGGATAGCGGGCAAGAAAACTCTCTAGGATCGTCGGTTCGGACGAGGCCTTCCGGGCAAGATCATAAATCTCCCGCATCCGCCGGACGCATAACTCGCGACAAGGGGGAGCAGATTTTGATTTCGACATGTTGGTTGATATGTAAACGATCAACAGCAACGGCGAACGATCCCAAGGACGCGTAGTGTATTGTTACGCTCCGTTCGCTATTCGTGTCGCGCGCACTCACGAACGCGTCCGCGTACTTCCGGGATCGCAGAAATAACCACTCTCGTTATACAAAAAGGAACTCGGGTTTATTTAAACTCAGAACGGAATACAAGAAAGTTCTGGGAAACCGGACCGAACGATTCGAGTCACCAGATCAATCTGACAGGCGGTAATTAAATCAATAATTCTATGTGTCCCCGTTGTCAAGAGACGCGCTTCGGCTTGAAACTTCTGCGGAGCGAAGCCAATTTCAGCCCACGAGAACGAACGTCTCGGCACGGGCGAGCGGGCGTAACAGTATTGTCGCCCCGTGAAAATACCGGCGAATAATTGGCTTCGAGTTTATGCGAAGGGACGAAAGAGAGAACGAAAACAAACAACCGTTCCGTTCGTCAAGGTGATGAGGAATAACCGATGGCTCGGCTCGGATTCCTACGCGAAGGCTCAATGGACTATTCACGCGAGAATGTTTTTCAATCACGATATAATAGCGCAGTAAAAATGACAAGTTTGTTAATCGCAAGAGCGAATGGCGAACGCAAGAAAAGGGGATCGAATGCAGTGCAGAGCTAGCAAGGAAGAGGGTTGCAAGGGATGTACAAAATAAAAAAAAATAGTTGTATCAGCAATCAAAATTATCAATTAGGTTGGCACAGGTGCCCGGTTACGGCGAGGAATGCACTCAAGTATTTGTTCAAATTAAGTTTTCAGCAATACATGTTGCGCGCGGAGCTACGACACGAGCAGCGTATACGACAGGAGCAGTATACACATGACACGCGCAATAATCCACGACATGAGCATCAATTACGCCAACTCTTTGCAATTGCGATTATAATTGTAATTATAATCTTTAATGAGATTACCTTGAGTGCTGCAATATATTCTATACCGGGAACCAGTGCCGACGAACATTCGATCGGTGGCAATTATGTTTGCGAGAATTCCAACGATCGGAATGATATTCAGTATGTGTTTTCAATATGTATTTCGAGTCTGGCCGAAACACACCCAGCAACAACGAAAATAAGGTAGCGCGTTATTATGGAACGCGAGCTTATGTAGAAAAACTGTGTACATACGCTGCCGGCCCGTGACCGAGCGTCAAGGCCGTCGACGGCGCGGCGAAAACGTATGGCTAGCCCGAGAATATTCGAGATCTGAATATTTCGGTTTCTATGTTAACAATGACGGGCTTTAACTAATTACCGCGTCAATTGCGCAATTTACGATTAGTATAAATAACGGCGATGGAACGTGTTACAACGAGCGAGAGAATTGCGAGCGAGCGATATCGCGCGAGATCGTGGATTCACGCGAATATTCTCGTCGCGAATTAATTAGATTATTAACACGCGTTATTGCAATTCGCGTTAAATGCGAATAACAGCGACGGAACGTGTTACGACGAGTGAGGTGTTCACGCGAGTATTCTCGCTGCGAATTAAGAATTGCGAACGAGGGATATCGCGCGAGACTAAAGATTATTAACACGCCGCGCGTTACTGCATCTCGCGACTATAAGAACAAACAATTAAGCGTATTCACGGCAAAAGCAGATAACAGCAATGGCATGGTTGCGACAAGAGAAGTTCACGCGAGTATTCTCGTCACAAAGAGTTGCGAACGAAAGATATCGCGAGAGACTACCACGCGCCACGTGTTATCGCGATGCGCGATTACAAGAAGGTGCGAAAATTAACAAGTTAATGAATGATACGACGTGAGCGAAAAGTCGGCGGTAATTTTCTAACGCGAAATCCGGCTCGAAGGACCAATGAACGGGGATAGTTTCGCCCCGGAGGCAAGATTTGCGATACTCGAAGGACCAGAGGGGGGTTGTCGCTTTCCCCTCACGACTATCAAATGTTTAACGCGA